CCTCAGGGAGAGAAGTCACTGCTGTTTGAGCAGTCAGAGCTCGTGGCGGGATCGTGGAGACGTTCACGTTGTGGGGGTGTCCAGGAATGGCTTTTAGGGGTCGTTGGCAGCTTTCTGGGTGTCGGCAGCACCGCTCAGGCATCACAGATAGAATCACAGAATGGGTTTGGAAAGGACCTTAAAGATAATCTAGTTCCACCCCTCCTGCCACAGGCTGGGACACCTTCCCCTAGACCAGGTTGCTCCAAGCCCCGTCTAACGTGGCCTTGGACACTTCCAGGGATGAGGCATCCACAGCTTCCCTGGAAAACCTGTTCCTGTGTCTCACCACCCTCATTAAAAGGCCTTCTTCCTAATGCCTGATCTAAATCTACCCTGCTCTAGTTTAAGACTGTTTCCCTTCATCCTGTTGCTACGTGTACTTGTAAAGAGTTCCTCCCCTGCTTCCCTGTAGCCCCCTTTAAGCACTGGAAGTTCTCTATAAGGTCTCCCTGAAGTTTTCTCTTCTTGAGGCTGAATGACCTCAGCTCTCTCAGCCTTAAATTTATTTATTTTTTTACAAGACTGAGTGCCAGTGAGCCAGGGGGATGTCCTGGCCCGCATGGCAGCAGCAAATCGGTGAGGTCTGTCCTCAAGGAGACTCCAGTTTGTTGGTGTTTGTCACATTGCTGCGTTTTGCCACGATATTAACTCTTCCGTCAGTCCTGCAAGCCCTCGGCGAAGCAGCGAGGCCTGAGAGGTTCTGGTTTCTCTCGGGGTAACTTGTGCATCTCCCTGCGTGTTGCCTGTGTCTTCTTTAAAAGATGATCTTGGGAGGTTCTGGAGCACAAAGCTCTTCCCACCAGTCACAGTGCTCTTGAGTTTAATGTCCTTTCTTAAACATTGTATCCTCTTAGAGCTTTGATCACAACCTTCCTCCAGAAGAGAGATTTTCACCTCGTGACCTCATTAAGAAAATCAAAGAACAGAAGGAAGAGCTGGGCCTGATCATCGACCTGACGTACACAACTCGCTACTATGGGCCAGAGGTCAGTCTTGGTCTTGCTGTCGGGGACACGAAGCTCTGTGGGAGCCCTGATATTGCTGATGAAGTGGGAAATCTTTCTTGCAAGAATATAAGGGTGGGAGGCATTTGAATCTTCTGGCAGGGGGGTGAGGTGAAGCGTTGCAGGCACCTTGGGGTGGAGTCTTTATCCCTGAGCAAGCACAGCCCTGGGGTTTTCGACCCCCATTGTGCAGATCCTCTTTGTACCAACCAAGCACAAGTTTTTGGATACTCTAAAGCTGGTTTTTATTGTCTCTCCTGAACGAAGAGCTGATTATAACGAGCTTTGGCTTGTGGTATCAGGCATCCAGGTAATTGGTTGGAAAGGTGTTGCAGCCTCTGTGTGTGCTTTGTCTTCCCCAGGGCGGAAAAAGCAAAGAACTAAAAATGCAAACAGAAATAAAAAGGCTGCCCAGGAATAGTGGTCCTGAGTCAAAGGGGTGAAGAAAAAGTTTTCTTACCTAAGACTTTGCTTTTGCTCTTTGGGCTTAGCTGGAAAGCTCAGCTTCGTCTCATTTCTGGTCTGTGGCTCTCTAATCGATAAGAATCCTTGTGTCCTTGCTGGAAATTATCGACTTGCTTTCTTGTAGGAGCTCCCAGCCTCACTCTGCTACTCCAAGATCTTGACAATGGGACACGAAATACCGAACAAGCACACGATTTTTCAGTTCAAGTGCGTCGTAAAAAAGTTTTTGAGGGACAACAAAGACAACGGTAAGCGTGGGTTTCCCTGACCTAGCTGCCGTTCGGGAGGGCGCTGCAGGCCTAGAGGCCAGCGAACAGCTTGAGTTTCTTTTCCTTCTCTTGGCGTGTGGATGTCGAGGTGATTTTGTTAGGGTGAAGGGATTCACACTACCTTGAGTAATTTGGCAGCGAGTCGAGCTTTAACTGAGTTTGAGATTCCATCTCCAGATTGGCTCTAAACATCAGCTCCCTTTTGGTAGCGATATAAGCAGCTCTTAGTGCTCAGGACACATGGGATAGTCTTTTGTGGAGCTTTGAAATACATCTTCCCTTCAGCGAGCTGTGCCGATGAGCTCCCTGAATCAAATCACTTAATGAGCTGAATCAGCGGCGCTAATCAGACGTAGAGTGATCTGCTTATTTATGTTGGCGTCGTAGCAAGAGGGAGAATGGAAACAGGGTGTGTTCTGGTGGGATTTTGGAGAAAGAGCACTTAAAACGTCACCTAATTGTTGTGTGTTACAGATAAACTCATCGGAGTTCATTGCACGCACGGCTTGAACAGAACGGGCTACCTGGTTTGTAGGTAAGTTCTTCTCAAGCGGTGGCGTCGTCAGCTTCTTGTTGCTCCGGGAGGAAATAGTGTTGCACCAGTAAAACCTGAGTCAAGCGACCTGCGTAAATCCCATACTTGGAAGGATTTAAAGCTTTTTAGCTTCAAGATTGTTGTTAGGGGGCGCTTTTTATCCCCGATTTCAGCAGACCAAATGCTGTTGGTCTATTCCAGCTTGTAAACAGAAGCTTTAAAGTCTTCCCAGTTACTCTTTCTTTTTGAATCATCGCTAACCTGTAAAACATTTCTGTAGTTAATTAGGTAATTAGAATTTTGTTGCTGATCTGTTCAGGTACCTGATTGATGTCGAAGGCATGGAACCAAATGCTGCGATTGAGCGTACGTATGTGCGTGTTCTTGTTTCGGGTGTGACACTTTTATTGTGGGCTTGTGGTTTTAGGCAGCCAAAAGATTTGGTCTGGAGGTGTCGAGGTTTCTTGAAGGTAGTTGAAAAGAGGGATTTAAGTTTATGGCCAGGCTGGGGAGCTAACCAGGTTTCAGTGAACGAGCATCTTATGTGACCTAAGCGTGGAGGTGTTGGTTAAAATCCTTCTAAAGGGTTTAAGTGCCCAAAGACTTCTTGCTTAACTCAGATCGGTCTCTCTTTCCAGTGTTCAACCAGGCTCGAGGGCATCCTATAGAGAGAACCAACTACATCCAAGATCTTCGGAAGAGAGCTGTAAAAAAGTGAGTCGTCTTGTGTTCGTGAGCAAATGAACGTGCCCAGGGAGAGCTGCTGTCCGTATCGGTTGTTAAGTGTGACCAGCTCCTAGGACGGGAGGCAGAGTGAGCTGCTGGGTTGGGAGACCTGGGTTTCAGAATCTCCACAGACCTGCAGCTTTCCTTTCTTTTTGGGGAGCAGTGAGGCAAAGGGATGGGGTTTTGGTTTGTGGACAGAGTCAAGACATAGAGAATTCTTTTTTTTTTTTCTTTTTTTTTTTTAAGGAACCACGGACTACAGAATTTGGGCTCAGGCCCCTTCAGAGGAAAAGCCAGCGCTATGCCCAGCGCTAGACCCCAGATGGCCAAATACCATCCTTCAAATAAATCCTCGTTAGCGATGCACAGGTAGGTGTTTGCTGCTCGCTTCTGCGCGTGCCCCGCACCTGAGCACAGAGGCAGAGAAGAGCTGCTTCCCCTTTTTGAAGAAATTCGGATTTTTTTACAAGCTGTAGCTCACACAAGTGAGTGCCCATCGCCTTGCCGGCTCCACAGGGAGAGAAAAAACCTTGAAATTTGTCTGGAGCCAATACATCAACGTTGAAGTGTTCCTGTGTCTACAGCAGCAAAGCTCTTTGCTTCTGCATGACGTGCCTGTGCTTGCAGACGTGGAATAACATAAATCACAATGTTGGTGCTAGTTCCCAGAGGGGCTGAAATGTTCTCAGGCTATCTGAAAGCTTTCAGGGCCGAGTGAGGCGGCTCATCCCTCTGAGCGAAGCGGTAACTTTATTTTTTTTTTTTTCAATTTGTTCCTAGGCTGTTCCCAGCTCAGCAGGGATGGCAGGGGAACGGCGAATACGGGTAAAAGCTTCCTCCGGTGCTCAGGGACGTGGTTTTACAGTGGGCTTGGAGGCACTGGGTTAACAGTTGGACTTGAATCTCTTCCAGTTCTGTGATTCTCTTGTCCTGAGGCGCCTGTCTGAGATGGGAGATGACTCTGGCAGCTCTGAAACCATAGAATCATAGAACAATAGAATCATTAAGGTTGGAAAAGACCTCTAAGATAGAGTCCAACAGTCAACCCATCTCGGGAGCAGACGTGCAGGTGGCCAGCACCTGCTTCTGGCAGAGCAGTGGCTCATTCAGCCCCAGTCCTCAGGGACATATAAAATATTTTCTGCTGAAAGCAGAAAGAATTTCTTTGCTGGGAGGGTTGTCAGCCACTGCAACAGCCAGCCTGGGGAGAGGGTTGAGTCGCCATCCCTGGAGGGATTTAAGAGAATCACAGAATAA